ACTCACCACCGGCAGGAGGGTTTGGAGGGTTGTTACGGTGCAGTGTGATTTGGGTGGCGACTGCTGCCCCTGCGAGCTGGTAACGGATAAGCGGATGAAAATGGATGGATGGATGTTCTTTTTCTTGTTCTTCCTCCTCTTGTTATTAATGTTTTGCTAATTCTTCTTTCTATTTCTTTCATCTTCTTGTTGTTCTTTTTGTTTTTCTGTCTTTGTTCTTCTTTTATCTTCTTTTTATGTCTTTTGTTTTTGTTCTTCTTCTTTCTATTTCTTTCTTTCTTTGTTCTTCTTCTTTCTATGTCTTTGTTTCTTTGTTCTTCTTCTTTCTATGTCTTTGTTTCTTCTTCTTCTTTCTATGTAGTTATTTCTGTCCTTCTGGCCAGTCGGCCTTCTGTCTGTTATTTTTTTCTTTCTTTCTGTGCTTCTTTACTTGTTTCCTTCTTTCCTTACTTCTGTCTTGCTTTCTTTTTTACTTGTTATTTTCTTTATTTTTTCCTTCTTTCCTTAATTCTGTCTTGATTTCTTACTTGCTTTCTTTTTCCTTTTAAGTTGCTTTGTTTTTTCCTTCTTACTTGCTTTTCTTTTTCCTTCTTACTTGATGTATTTTTTCCTTCTTTCCTTACTTTTGTCTTGCTTTCTTTTTTCCTTCTTTCCTTACTTGTGTCTTGCTTTCTTTTTTCCTTCTTTCCTTACTTGTGTCTTGCTTTCTTTTTTCCTTCTTTCCTTACTTGTGTCTTGCTTTCTTTTTTCCTTCTTTCCTTACTTGTGTCTTGCTTTCTTTTTTCCTTCTTTCCTTACTTGTGTCTTGCTTTCTTTTTTCCTTCTTTCCTTACTTGTGTCTTGCTTTCTTTTTTCCTTCTTTCCTTACTTGTGTCTTGCTTTCTTTTTTCCTTCTTTCCTTACTTGTGTCTTGCTTTCTTTTTTCCTTCTTTCCTTACTTGTGTCTTGCTTTCTTTTTTCCTTCTTTCCTTACTTGTGTCTTGCTTTCTTTTTTCCTTCTTTCCTTACTTGTGTCTTGCTTTCTTTTTTCCTTCTTTCCTTACTTGTGTCTTGCTTTCTTTTTTCCTTCTTTCCTTACTTGTGTCTTGCTTTCTTTTTTCCTTCTTTCCTTACTTGTGTCTTGCTTTCTTTTTTCCTTCTTTCCTTACTTGTGTCTTGCTTTCTTTTTTCCTTCTTTCCTTACTTGTGTCTTGCTTTCTTTTTTCCTTCTTTCCTTACTTGTGTCTTGCTTTCTTTTTTCCTTCTTTCCTTACTTGTGTCTTGCTTTCTTTTTTCCTTCTTTCCTTACTTGTGTCTTGCTTTCTTTTTTCCTTCTTTCCTTACTTGTGTCTTGCTTTCTTTTTTCCTTCTTTCCTTACTTGTGTCTTGCTTTCTTTTTTCCTTCTTTCCTTACTTGTGTCTTGCTTTCTTTTTTCCTTCTTTCCTTACTTGTGTCTTGCTTTCTTTTTTCCTTCTTTCCTTACTTGTGTCTTGCTTTCTTTTTTCCTTCTTTCCTTACTTGTGTCTTGCTTTCTTTTTTCCTTCTTTCCTTACTTGTGTCTTGCTTTCTTTTTTCCTTCTTTCCTTACTTGTGTCTTGCTTTCTTTTTTCCTTCTTTCCTTACTTGTGTCTTGCTTTCTTTTTTCCTTCTTTCCTTACTTGTGTCTTGCTTTCTTTTTTCCTTCTTTCCTTACTTGTGTCTTGCTTTCTTTTTTCCTTCTTTCCTTACTTGTGTCTTGCTTTCTTTTTTCCTTCTTTCCTTACTTGTGTCTTGCTTTCTTTTTTCCTTCTTTCCTTACTTGTGTCTTGCTTTCTTTTTTCCTTCTTTCCTTACTTGTGTCTTGCTTTCTTTTTTCCTTCTTTCCTTACTTGTGTCTTGCTTTCTTTTTTCCTTCTTTCCTTACTTGTGTCTTGCTTTCTTTTTTCCTTCTTTCCTTACTTGTGTCTTGCTTTCTTTTTTCCTTCTTTCCTTACTTGTGTCTTGCTTTCTTTTTTCCTTCTTTCCTTACTTGTGTCTTGCTTTCTTTTTTCCTTCTTTCCTTACTTGTGTCTTGCTTTCTTTTTTCCTTCTTTCCTTACTTGTGTCTTGCTTTCTTTTTTCCTTCTTTCCTTACTTGTGTCTTGCTTTCTTTTTTCCTTCTTTCCTTACTTGTGTCTTGCTTTCTTTTTTCCTTCTTTCCTTACTTGTGTCTTGCTTTCTTTTTTCCTTCTTTCCTTACTTGTGTCTTGCTTTCTTTTTTCCTTCTTTCCTTACTTGTGTCTTGCTTTCTTTTTTCCTTCTTTCCTTACTTGTGTCTTGCTTTCTTTTTTCCTTCTTTCCTTACTTGTGTCTTGCTTTCTTTTTTCCTTCTTTCCTTACTTGTGTCTTGCTTTCTTTTTTCCTTCTTTCCTTACTTGTGTCTTGCTTTCTTTTTTCCTTCTTTCCTTACTTGTGTCTTGCTTTCTTTTTTCCTTCTTTCCTTACTTGTGTCTTGCTTTCTTTTTTCCTTCTTTCCTTACTTGTGTCTTGCTTTCTTTTTTCCTTCTTTCCTTACTTGT